CTGAATGTTGGGAGTATACTGATCAGTGCTTCCCAAGAGTTATTTATTCCTCACATCTTATTGGGGGCAAGAATCTCTTGTTACCTCTGGTTTAGAAGCCCAAACAGGCTCAGAGAGGTGAAGTGACTTGGCCATGGTCTAACAATTTAACAGCAGCGTAGGAGTTCACACCTGAACAATCTGGTGCCTGTATTCACTCATCGTCTGTTGTTGTTATTGTTTATGTACCGTTGAACCAGAACTGACTCATAGCTGACTCTCCAGCTGGTTTCCAGAGGCTATAAATCACATAGGAGGAGACTGACTATCTTTCTTCTGAGCAGTTAGTGGTTTTGAGTTGCGTACCTTTGGGTTGGCAGCACAACTCCTTACCAGTAAGCCACGAGAGCTCCTTGCGCTCATGGTCTAGGTGTCTGATAATGAGGTCTTGACCTAGCACAGCAGGATGAATGAGGAGGAGCCAGAGAGCAGAAAATTGGGGAACAAGATTCAGGGCTTTGGGAAGGGGGGTGTTGATGACTTTTGAGAGGGAGTTAGTGACCAGAATCCCCAAGAGGACATTTAGGGGAAGAGAAGGCATTTGCCATTTGTTTAGGGGAGAAGGGTAATACGGAGGAGGCAGAGCGGGCTACTCCTCCATCTGGTGAAAATCCTGGAGATGGACGTGGATCCTTAGGACAGAAGATGCCCTCAGTGGGAGACAGGGGGAATGGGGAGCAAAATGCTGACCAAGCTGATGTGGGTGCAGGAAGGAGCCTTGGGAGGACCGTAGGCCTCTGGAGTGTTAATGCCGACAAGAGTAGGAAAAACCGAGGTCTTACTTCATAGAAGAAACCAAAGTTAGCAAACTACTTGCCTGACAACACCTCAATGGGAGGGGTCTTCAACTGGACTGAGTGTCCCCTTACCTCCCACCCCCGGCCCAGGGCCTATTCTACCTTTGAATCTTCCAAGGCAAATGGTTAGATTTCTCCAGCTTCTCCGTGGGAGAAAGATAAGCAGAGCAGTTTCCTCCTGTGCGATTTACAGCCTCTGAAAATGCTCTGAGGGTCAGCTATGAATCGGTTCTGACAGCACGGCAATGACTTTGACTGATTAGACCATTACAGGGAACCTTGATGGCCATAGTGCGTTACATGTGAGGCTGTTAGTTGAAAGGCCGGCAGCTCAAGCCCCCCAGTATTGCTCTTCCGAAGAAAGATGGACAGTTTCCTCTTGTACTGATGTACTGCTTCAGAAATGCATGGGAGGTTGGCTGTCAATCGGAACTCATTCTTCAGTGGTGAGGTTGGGTTGTTGCTGTTTGTTTATTAGATCCATGGCTCTCAGCCAGGGTCTGTTTTAACCTCTTCAAGGACATTTGTCAATATCTGGAGGCATTTTTGGTGGTCATCTTCTGGGAGGGGTGTTAGTAGCATCTGTTGTTGTTACATGCCGTCGAGTATAGGCGACTCATAGCGACCCTGTGAACGAAAGACCTGGACACCTGTATAACTTTCATCCTCTCTTCAGGTTCGTAGAGTTTTTGGAGGCAGGCTGTTTTGGAAGTGGATGCCACTCCTGCTTCCAAGCTTGTTTTAATTGGGAGCTCCACCAAACACTGTCCACCATGGGTAACCATTCTCGCATTTGACTCATCAGGGTCACAGTGTTCAATTTCACAGCAAGTGGACATAACAGAGCCATACGACCTAGTGGGTGGAAATCGGGGATGCTGTTCTGCATGCTACAGTGCACAGCACAGCTCAGTACAATGAAGTGTCACAGCAGAGGTGGTGCTGAGCCAGTCACTCTCCTCGTGTACCCCACGTCTTTCGTCCTTAGCAGGGCAGACAGCTCAGGTGGGGCCTCCACCTGCGTAGGCCTCCAGCTGAGCAAACCTTTGCCCCAGTCCTCACTTACTGCTCCCATGCTTACTTCTTGATTCCTGGAAGCTTCCAAAGTTCACTCTGCTTTTCTTGGGTGCAAGTAATGGTTTAAAGCCCTGCCCCCCACACACACACCCCAAAGTGTTAGTCCTCATCAATCTGTCCATCCAGACCTCTGTTCTTAGTATTTGGTGTCAAGCTCTGAGAAACCAAAGTCGAAAATGTCATGTAGCACACAGAGGATGCAGTGATTATGTGTTCACCTGCTAACAAGGAGGCCAGATGTTTGAGCCCAGCTCTATGGAAGAACGATGTGGTAGTCGGCTCCCTTAGAGATTCTGTAGAGACCCAAATGTGGGCCAGTTCTGCTCTGTCCTGTAGCATCGCTGAGCCAGAAGCAACTATCTGGTGCTGGTGTGTATTTTGTTTGTTCTGTAGGTGCAATATGTATTGAAAGTGAGTGACATTTTAAGGCTCCTCTCATTTTAGCCATTGTAACTGTGCCCTTTGGGAACAAGAGTGGCATCCACTTCCAAAATAACACACCTCCAGAAACCCTATGAACTTTGATAAATGTCAATAGTTGTAGAGGGGCTTCAAGCCTGTTGTTCATAGGGTCGCTATGAGTCATGCTCGACTCGAAGGCAATAAGCAAATTGTGCCCTGTGTTTGTGTGGCACTGAAGTAGACCAGAAGAAACTCACTGGTCCATCCCATCTCTCAGGACAGGCAGTTGTTGTTATGTGCCATCAAGTCACCTGCGACTCATAGTGACCATATGTACAGCAGCCCTAAACCCTGCCCTATCCTGGGCCAATCTCAGTGTCTCTAACACATCTACTCCCATTAACCAGTCACTAGATCCATCCATCTCATTGAGGGTCTTCCTCTCCTGCGCTGTCCCTCCACCCTCAGGCAGAGTTTACCATTATCTGAGAAGTGCTGTCTGGGGCAGTTCTGATCACCAGGAGCAAACACCAAGGCGATTCTTGAAAACTGAAAGGTAGAGGAATCACCTGGGAATCTTGTTAAAAAGACCCTTATTCAGAAGCTTATTGAGGCTGAGTGGGCCCAAGGATTCTGTGTTTCTAATGAGCTCCCAAACAATATAATGATGTTGTGTCTCAGTGTGACGAAAACAAAAATTCTTACCACTGGACTGATAGGCAACATCATGATAGATGGAGAAAAGATTGAAGTTGTCAACCATGTCATCTTACTTGGATCCCTTGGTACTAGCAGTCAGGAAATCAGGAGATGTGTTGCACTGGGAAAGTCTGCAGTCAGGACCTCTCTAAATTGATGAGCAGTGATGTCAGTTTGAGGGCACAAAGGTGCGTCTAATTCATTCAAGGCCATGGTCTTTCCAATCACTTGCTATGCATCTGAGAGCTAGACAAGGAAGAAGGATGACAGAAGAAGAACTGATACCTTTGAGCCGTGGTGTTAGATTACTGAATGTCTCATGGACTGCCTAAAGAACAAAGACATCTTGGAGAAAGTGCAACCAGAGTGCTCCTTGGAAGCAAGGATGATAAAGCTTCGCCTCACATACTTCAGGCATGTTGCTAAGAGAGGCTGTTCCTTGGAGAGGAATATCATGCTTGGAAAGGTGGAAGGCCGGCAAAAGTGAGGAAGTCCTTCAACTAGATGGATTGACCCAGTGGCTGCTGCAGTGGGCTTTAGGGTATCAGGAAGTATGGGGATGGCACAGGATAGGACAGGGTTCAGATCTGTTGTTCTTAGCATCACTGTGAGTCGTACTCAACCCGATCGATGGCTCCTAACAACAGCTATGAGCTCCCAGGTGCTATGGATGCGGTTGATCCACAAGCAGCTGTGTTTCGAGTGACTGGCCAGGGGTCGCTGTGGGCAGGCTGCGCTCCCTGCGGGTAACTCTCGTGTGTAAGACCATGAAGGGGAAGGGACGTGTGATGTGGAGTCACAGATATATATTTGAATTGTCACCCCTTCCCACCCCCTTTCTTAGGGTCCTATTAGTTTAATAGGGCTTAGTTCCATCCCATAATCTCTTTGAGGGATGATCTTGCAGGCTGGACAGTCCTCCAAGGCTGCTAATGGGGGTTAGCAAGAGGGACGTGCGCCACGGAGGTGGCAGTCGTCAGGATCCCAGCAGTCACTGGCCTGGCCAGCATGGTGAGGTGATGAGCGGAAGTGGGCAGGACGGCCACCCTGTCAGCGTGGAGGCGGCTGTTATGATGTCCCTGGCCTCTTCCTTCTTGCTTCAGGCTCACCCAAGCCTGGGAGAGCTGGAGAGACTGGTCTGGCTGGGGAGGGAGGGCCAATCTGTGGCCTGAATCTGGACCCAAGTGCTTGACTGGGTGAACCAGCCCCAGTCTGAGGGGTGGGGTCAGAGCTGAGGGTGGGAGCTTAGAACTATGGCCTTGGGGTCAGGTGATGGCCCAGGGATTGGGGGCGGGGGGGCCTGGTGCTCTCAGCTATGAGCTCCTTCTGTCTCGAGCACCTGACTTCAGGAGTGGGACTGGGCAGAGTCTGAGGTACTTGGTGTATCCCACTCCTCCTTCCCCACAAATCAGTCAAGATGACTCAGCAAGACTCTTCCCTATTCCTCAGACTGAAATGCAACAAGACAGTTAAACCCATTTCTCAGATGGAAAAAGAGAGACTTCCCACTTCCCATCCACAGTTGGATCAGCCGAGCAGTTTGGACCAGGGGTTCTGCAGCCAGGCGGAGCTGGAGTTGAAACCTGGCTCCTCCGCTTAGAAATTGTGAGAACGCGAGCCAATCTGCCTCTCTGAGTTTGTCTGTAAACACTAATAACACCCGCCCAGACAGCTGCATGGGTGATGGTGAAGATGAAGCGAGCCATGCTCACTGGGCACTGTGGTCATCGTTAGTCACAGCATTTAGAGACGTGACTAAGGGTAGAATCTCACCCGGTGCCTCACTCTACAGATGTGACGCTAGCACCTGGAGGCGGCTGTCCACAGATCCTGCAGCGGGACGCAGGGCCTGAACACACGTTTATACCTGCTCGCCGAGGCCCTCATTGCAGGAGCTTGGAGGTTGGCACACAGGTAAGCCCGGGGGGTTGGGTGGTCAGCTGTGGGAGGGTGCCCCCAGCTGCGCTTGTCTTTGCAGGACTGGCCATGAATTACGTGGGGCAGCTGGCGGAGACGGTGTTCGGGACGGTGAAGGAGCTGTACCGGGGCCTGAACCCGGCCACGCTGAGTGGGGGCATCGACGTGCTGGTGGTGCGGCAGCAGGACGGCTCCTTCCGCTGCTCGCCCTTCCATGTGCGCTTCGGCAAGCTGGGCGTCCTGCGCTCGCGGGAGAAGGTGGTGAGTGCTGGCCCCCAGGAGTGGCCGTCACAGTGGGCGCTCGCTAGAGGCTGGGGCTGCCCCTTTGTTCTCTGGAGAGGACTTAAGGCCTCTCTTATGTAGGCGGGCATCCCTTCTTTTGTATTTTCCTTGGAGCTTTGTGGAGTACTTTGGCATTTGGAGGTGGTCCTCATTTTCCCATGACAACTGCATCGTGGGCCAAAGATCACCTTTCTAAGAGCAAACTTGTTTGTACCTGTGTTCTTAGTGACTGCTTCATGTCCAAGCCTACCTCACCTGTACAAAGGAGACATTCTCACCTGCTTCATGGGGGGGCATGGCTTGGGGGTTTAATGGGAGCAGATCACATTGTCACAGGACAGATATATGGTGGCTATTCCAAATGTCTGTTTGTAAACACCCCCGTAGCAAACTCTTTCTTCCCTGGGCACAGGGGCAGTGACATGCTTGTCCCCTGAGACCTTGTGTGTGAAGAGAAGTTTGATGGCAGCTGTGAACCTTCCCTGAATCCTGATAGGAAAGTCTAACCTTGTCAAAAACAGTAGAAACAAGTGATGAAGAGCCAGAGTTGTGTATGCAGACTTTCTGGGCTCCTGCCTTCTCTTGGCCATTGCCCAGAACATTGCTTACTCATTCCAAGCCTCGACTTCCTCATCTATAAAATGGGGATAATGATAGGAGCTACTTTAAGTGGGTTGTTGTGAAGACTAAATGAAAGGATCTGCACAGAACACTCTATAAAGTGCTCAGTAAATGGTCATTCTTCGCATTGTTCAAGTAGTTGTCAAATGTTTGGGCATAGCCTGGGGGGGCAGGGGATTCAGAGGTGACAAGGTCTGTGAGGAGGTGGGAGAGAGAGGAACTCTGGACAAAAGAATGAAAGAGTTAAGTGACTGAAGTGCAGTAAAGCCCAGAAAATGGGGGGGGGGGGAGGTGTCAGGGGCATGGCCAGCGAGTACAGAGTGCTCAGGGGGAGGAGAGGTGGAGCAGAGACTCCCCTGGGGGACAGCCAGGCCCACAATGGTCTTCAGGCAGAGATGACCACAGACCACAGCGCAGACCTGGGAGTGAGGCCCCGCCCCCCGATCCCCACTGCAGGTGGACATAGAGATCAATGGGGAGCCAGTGGACCTGCACATGAAGCTGGGCGACAGTGGAGAGGCCTTCTTCGTCCAGGAGCTGGAGAGCGATGAAGTGAGTGCCGCTTCAATCCTACCCGCACCAATGTCCCTGTGCCCTCTGGTCAGCTGGGGCTGGCCGTGGGTACAGGTGAGAGGATGTAAAAGTCCAGAGGAGGAGGATGGACTGAGTACAGGCTCGGGAAAGCTGAGAGCTTTCTCCTGGGAAGGCTGGGAGAAGTTTCTCAAGGGAGGGACCACCTGGGCCAAGCCCCTGGATGATGAAGAGGAAACAGTTCCCCGGGGACTTCGAGAGGCGGGCACCCAGGACGATGTACTGTGAGCTGGTGCCATCCAGGTGGCTTCCATAAGGACCCCTGTGTACAGCAGGACGAGGCCCTGCCAGGCCTGCACCCCTCCCAGTCGCTGCTAAGCTTGAGCTCATTGTAGCCACTGTGTTCATCTCCTTGAGGGTCTCCCTCTTCCCCACTGACTATTGATTTACGCTGGAGTTGGTGCTGGAGAAGGGGTGCCGGGAGAAGGAAGACAGAGCCTAGTGTCAGCCAATAGAAGTGTTGAGTTTGACAGACTGGATTGTAGGCCAGACACTGGGCAGTAGATTTGGAAGAGCCGTGTCCCTGGCCTTCAAGAAGGTTCCCAGGCTAGTCCGGGAGACAGACGCATAAGCAATGGATGATGCCATAATATGACCCTCACAGCAAAGGACGTTGATGAGGAGTATTGGGGGTGGTCAAGGCAAACTTCCTGGAAGAGGTGACACCAGAGCCTAGTCTCAAAGGAGAAGTAGGTGTCACTGTGATATTCATCACAGTGGAGAGGCTGAGGCGCAAGGGTCTACCTGGAGCAAGCAGTGTGAGGGTGCAGCACCCCGGCCTGCTGGGTTAGGGGGTGATTCCCTGAGATTGGGGCTGCCTTATCCCTATTAGGGAGCTTTGAGACTGCAAAGCTGTGCTGCTGCCGCCCCTCTTCCTTATCCTGCACCTGTTTTCCTGACCCCATGTGCACTCACCCCAAGGCCCACAATGCAGGGTGACTACATGACATGTGTGGTCCCCAAGCTCTGGTTCAGCTCTGCCTCTGCTCTGCAGGAACACGTGCCCCCCCGCCTCTGCACCTCCCCCATCCCGTGGGGGGGCCTGTCTGGATTCCCCTCAGACTCCCAGTTGGGCACAGCCAGTGAGCCCGAGGTCCCGGCTGTGGCAGGAGTGGGCTCCACAGGGCGGAAGAAGAGACTCCGCAGGAGGAAGCCCAGGAGAAAGGAGGACACAGTGGCCACAGACTCGAGTTCGGAGGAGCTGGAGGCAGGCACTGAGAGCGGGCTGTCCCTGCTGGAAAAACCAAGGACAGAGCCCGCAGGGTATGTCAGGGGTATGGGGACTCCAAGCTGGAATTCAAGTTCCTGTGCCAGTTGCTCTGTGACCTTGAGCAAGTCTCTTGACCTCTCTGAGCCCCAAGCCCCTCATTCACAGGCACTGTTTGACTGCCTGGAGTGGGGTGTGACTATTTCCCATGGTATCTCAGCAGTGCCCAGTTGGAAGAGGAGTCCTCACCACAGCCCAAAGACATCTACCCCTACTCGGATGGGGAGTGGGCCCCCCAGACCAGGTGAGAGTCTTCAATCCAAGGTCTCAGTGTTTTAAATTTGCAGTGTTCTGTATATGTGCTCACCTGCCATCTAGATTTTGTTTGTCAAGTGTTAAAGGCTTTTGTCCTTTTTTTCATTACTCTTCTACCTTCTTATTGTTGATTCGTGGTTGCTTTTTATATACTACTTTTTTTTTTAATCTCTTTACATACAGTATGTATTGTGGATCTAACACAGCCTAGGAGGTGGGTGGCAGAGGGTAGCAGGCCAGCTTGGGATCACTGAATCTTTGTTTCCTGCAGCCTCATGTCAAGTGGACTGACTTCCCCCAAGAGTGACTCGGAACTGGAGCTGCGGGCCTCCGAGCCCAGCCCCCTGAGAGCTGAGTCCCACATGCAGTGGTCCTGGGGACGGCTGCCAAAGGTGGGTTCATTTATGTCAAAGCCTTGTTGCTGCCTTGCAGGGGTTCTGTAGCCCCTGTGGGTCAAGGCGGAAGTGGCCATGGCCAGGCTGCCTCTCCAGAGTTTTCCAGCTAGAACTGACCCCAGCCTCATCTTCCTCCATTTGTTTGACTTAAGGTGGCCGTAGCTGAACGGCTTGAGTTCTCAGTGGTCCCTGAAGGCAACAGCAAAACCACCTCTCCCCAGAGGGGAGAGCCCAGTGCCCCCGCCGTCTCTGTGGCTGGCGTGGACACCTCAGGACCAGTCCTGCAAACAGAGCCTGACAGTGCCCTGCTACAGTGTGACACGGAGGCTCCAGTGCTGGTGGACGCCCTCAGCCCCACCCCAGAGAGCAAGGAAACCAAACAGGAGAGCGCTGGGGATGCGCGCCACCTTCCCGCCTCAAAATCATGGAGTTGGGCTGCTCTGGAGGGCCCAGCCCCCCCAGGACCACCAGCAGAGGTCTTCAAAGGGAAGGGTGAGTGATGGCTGAGCCCGGGCCAGGCTCCCTGGCCTCAGATTCTCCCCTGAGAGACTCTGGGAGGTGGAGCACATTTTGTTTTATTATTTTAGTGTTTATTAACACATTCTTCTAGTATTATTATTTGTGTGAAAGTTTACAAATAATATTAGGTTTTCATTCAATCTTTCATTATTTTTTAAATGAAAGTAAAGATAGTTTTATTAGAAAAGATACACTCCATAGAGTGAGAAGAATAATTTCTCCAAAGTGTAGTGGTAGAGACAGACCTCATCTTCCATATAATTTGTTTTAGAACATTAATTACCATTGGTTAATGCCATTAATTAATCAAGGCCTTGTTATATATTGCCTTTCCCTTCACCCACCATACCTGTTTATTTTTAGCCCCTTTCCCTCTCATCCGTGGGAGATCCAAGAATGACTCTATCTGCATATAATCCTATCCTTAGCTTGGTTTAAGAGTGATCTTATAATATTATTTTGGGGACTGAATTATTTTACTTAAAATAAGGTCCTTTGGAGGCATCCGTACGATGTAGTGTTTCATGAAATTTTTGTTTTTCACTGTTGCATAGTACTCCATTGTGTGGCCGTATGACAGGTTCTTTATCCATTTGTCTGTTGATGGGTGTTGCAGACCGAGGGTCCCAAAGAATAGAATAATTTTATAATTATTAATAAAGAGACAAACAGCCAGGAATGAGATAGAGCAGAGAGCATAAAACAGAGGGTCAGCAGTTCAACTGAAGACCTCAAGCCATGCTTCTCTGAGTATTTATTTAGAATCATAAGATAATAAAAGTAAATTCACAAGGAAGTACAAAACAAAGGATAATGGTGAAATCTTTTATAGATAAGGCCAAATTCCTCTTTATGCTAATCTCAAGAGGGAGGGGTTCATTTGACACAAACTAAGAACAATGTTAACTCCTAGCGAATGCCTCATTGCCACAAGGTGGCCTTCAGTTTGTATCAAGCTTCTCTCATTTCCCGAAACAGCATTTGGTCTATTATTAAATTTGATATTCGGCTTCCCTTAGATGGGTCCTGTTCCTCTCTTTGGTATTGTAAATGGTGCTGTAAGGAACACAGGTGTGCATGTGTCTGCTCGGATAGCAGTTCTCATTTCTTTGGCTGTCCACTTAGTGGTGGGGTTGTTCAAGCAGTTTGGAGCACTGACTGTGAGACAGGCACTGTGCTGGTATCAACTTTGATGGAACTCAGGGTCCAGGTGAGAGGTGAGGCGAGATGACACCTGCATAAACAAGGAGGAGCATCGTGTGGATAAGGTGGGAGAGGGTGATGAGTAGGGTGGGGGAGTACTGAAATCATGTGGTCAAGGGAGACCTCTGAATGGTGGCATTGAAGCAGAAATGTGGAAGATAAAAATCTACCCAAGAGAGACAAATCTTGTTAGCAGTTGATTGTGATTGAATCATCTCTGACTCAGGATGATAACATCTACCAAACAGAACCCTGCTCAGTCCTACGCTGTCTTTATGATTTAGTCCATTTTTGTGCATTTTGAGTGCCAGCACTACGCCGGATGTTGTTGTTTTGTGAGTCATAGGGTTTCCATTGGCTGATTTTCAGAAGTCAGCCACCAGGCCTTTCTTCCTCGTCTGTTTTAGTTTAGAAATTCTGCTGAAACCTGACTGCCAGGCTGGTGACCCTGCTGGTATTTGAAATCCCATCGCTTCCGGCATCATTGCAACCTGCAAGTCACCACAGGATGGCAGGCTGGCTCAGTGAGGAAGGAACAGGGGAAGAGAATTTCAGGCAGAGGAGACAATATATATCAGGGACCTGAGCTGGGAGAGAGGTTTCGTATTCTAGAAACAGAGGCAGGATGAGATGAACAGAGGCCAGGACATGCCCGCTTACAGCTGGGGTTTATTCTAGGCCAAGGGAGGGCCCTTAGTCTGCGCTGCCCAAATCAGTAGCCACTGGCCATATGTGGCTGCTTAAAACGTAATGAAAATGAACTACAGTTAAAAATCCAGTCCCTCCGCCTTGTACTTGCTGCATGTCAAGGACCCGGAATCCCCAGGAATCTTCCATATTGAACAGTTCAGATCTGCAGCTTTTCTCGTCACAGAAAGTTCTGTCAGACAGCGCTGCATCAGAGGTCTCGGGGGGGCGGGGGGGGCGGGGAGGGAGACACAGCTGCCTGCTGTGCTGAGCACGTGTCAGCTCTAAGGTGCCCCTTCCTCTTCCCTCAGGTCCCCTGAAGAGAAGCCAGCACCTGGGCCCCAGTGACATCTACCTCGAAGACCTGCCCTCTTTGGACTCCAAGAACGTGGCCCTTTACTTCCCCAAAAGGTGCCCAGGGCTTGGGACATGTGACCAGGACACGCAGGGTCCCCCATCCTGGGCCTGGGAGGAGTAGGGACCCTGCTAGCTTCCTTCTATTCATGTCACCATCGGCTCCTTTTGTCCCCAGTGACTATGGGCTGGGGCCCAGGAGGTGGAGTGAACCCAGCCATCAGAAGCTCCTGGGGGAGCCCGTCCTTGAACATGTGCCTGAACCCACTCTGGACGTGGTGGACACAGTAGTGCTGTCCCTCTGCGGGGGACTGGCCGACAGCCGGGACATCTCCCTGGGTATGGGAGATGGTGGCCTGGTGACTTCTGAGGCTCAACACTAAGGCCAGGACACTAGGGGGTGGGGGGTGTGGTCAGAAAAGACCCTGGGGTGTGGGAGCAGCCGAAGGTGTGAGGCCAGCCCAGGTGTCCCTGCCCGATGGCTCTGTGGAGCTTACTCTCGGCCAGCGAGGGTGCGGCGTCCCCCAGTCACCACAAAGCAGGTGCTCAATGTCAAGTGGTGACCATGCGAATCCAGGAGGAGCAGGTGGCCAGGATGGGGACAGCATAGTGAGGGTCCTGCTGGGCCAGCCCCTCTCCGGGAGGACGTCTGGGTGGCTTGAGGGGCTCTCATGCCAGCCTCACCCTCCCTCCTGCCTCTGTGCCCAGAGAAGTTTAGCCAGCACCTCGTCTCCTACCAGAACCTTGCTGAGAACCCCAGCCTCCTGGATGACCCCAACCTTGTAGTGAAGATCAACGAGAAGTGAGTACAGGGCTGGGCTCCTGGTCACCCCCCTCCCAGGCTCTTGTGACGGCAGCCCCCCACAGCCCTGTGTTCTCTCTCCAGGTATTATAACTGGGCTGTGGCTGCTCCCATGATCCTCTCAATGCAAGCCTTCCAGAAGAATCTGCCCAAGGTAATGATGAATCACCACTGGGCCTGCTTGGAAAAGTGGCCATAGCCTCTGGGTGGGGGGCTATTGGGAAGGAAGTGGAAGATGGGGAGAGGTAGCCCCTGGGGGAGACAGTCCCCCGAGCCTGTACCTTATCCTGTAAATACTATTGGGTTGTGTTTGTCACTTCAAAGAGATGTAGGAGAAACCAGAAGGGCTTAGTCATGCAACAGGGACTAACCAGGGGCATGCCTTCCACAGGAGGCTTCTCGGTCAGAGAGCTAGAGGCCATCTCTTGGCATCTGGCCCCAAGAGCCCTTCCTGGCTGGGCTGCAGGTGTTTGTCACTGTGCATTGTTGAACATCTCCTATGCGCCAGGCCCAGGCTGGTGACAGTCCTGAACTAAACAGAAACAGCCCCGGCCCTCACAGGAAGATGCGGTTGTTTATAAGCACGGCAGACAGGCTCCGGTAGCCCAGTTGGTAGGGAGTTGCTCTGCCGACCTGAAGGCAGGCAGTTTGAATCCACTAGCTGCTCCTCGGGAGGAGGATGGGCTGTGTTCTTCTGAGCAATTTATTGCCTCTGAAAACCCGCTGGAGGGTCAGCCATGAGTTGGTTCCAACTTGACAGCAGAGAGTTGAGTTTGAGTTTTGGGAAGAAGATGTCTGCAGAGCTTTGAGAACCGCAGTGGGTGGGTTTGCTGAGGACATGTCCTTGGACTGAGACTGGAGGATGAGTGTACTGTAACCTGAGGGTCAGGAACCATGCACACGGACGCTTAGAGGTGGGAAGGAGCTTGACCTTTTCAGTGGCCCCCAAAAGCTCCATCTTGGTCCTCCTGGGGCACCTTCTCTTTCTCTTGGGGAATGGTGCCTTCCAGCTCAGCAGGAGCCCCTACAGATCTGTCCTTGTCCCTTCTTTCCCCCTGGGAGCCACTCAAAGCCCCACTCTGGTCTTCCCCATTGTTCTCAGCTTACCTGAGCTTTCCCCAAAGACCGTCACCAACCAGCTGATGACAGCTGCTGCCTCTTTGGTGATGTTCAGCTCCTTCCTGGTTTTCTGGGTCTGTAGGGAATGCCTGGCTTTCCTCACCTGACCCAGACTGACCAACTATTATTTAAGGGCTCCAAGCCCATTCCAGCCTAGATGAGCCCTCTGGTCCCTGAGCCCAAGCCCATGTCTTCCTCCCTCTCCATCTGCATCTGTAGAATGCCATTTCCCAGATGGACCTTGACCTTGGCTCTCCTGGAAACTAGTTAGTGCCTATCTAGTCACACATTTCATACAGTTACATTGCCCCAGCCGGATAATGATAGCATCATTCAAAGAGGGAGGCCATTCAGGGGTAAGGTCATTGACCTTAAGAGGTTCAGGGTCGTGCTGCCCAGAGACCATCCTTGCTGCCACTTGGTGGCATCGTGCAGGGAGCAGCAGCTCTCAGGAAACTCCCATGATCTGGCAGCCAGGTCAAGGCTTGATCTGGCAGCCAGGTCAAGGCTGGGCTAGAGGTAGGGGGCCAGGCTGAGCTGACGCAGCCATGAGCTTGTGGGTCACTGCTTAGTCCTAGGATGGAGGTGAGTGAGTCCCTAGCCTCCACTTGGTGGCACCACCTTTCTCCAGGGTTGCCCTTGACCCTGGGCATTCAGGGGGGCCTCGGAGGCAGTGTGAGGTGGGTTTGTGTTGGGCAGGGAACACCCTGGCTGCCGTCTGCCTGCAGAGTGCTGTGGACAAGCTGGAGAAGGAGAAGATGCCCCGGAAAGGCGGGCGGTGGTGGTTCTCCTGGCGACGCAGGGACCTCCCTGTGGAGGAGGTAGGTAGTTGTGACCATGGGACGGGTGGGGGCAGCCCAGGCAGGGCCAGAGGCTCATGTGGTGACGTTCTTCTCACAGCACAGTGCCCAGAGGGGGAAGACCACAGCCAGGGAGGAACAAAGGTGAGGTGGGGCTCCTGGCGGGGACAGGAGCCTGAGGAAGATCTCCCCGCACTTGCACACACATACTTTCCCCTGAAAGAAAGTCTGTTCTGCAGATGGGACCATGTGACAGATGAGTCCCTGAGTTAGGAAGTAGCAGACCTGGAGCAAACAGGAGTCCAGACTCCTGGCCACACACTATTCAGGGGGCTGGGGTTGACCTCTTGATCCAGCCTGCAGTTGCCAGCTGGCCTTTTTCTGAACCCCAAGAAACAAAACCTATGGCTATGGAGTCAATTCTGACAGCAACCCTGTCGGACAGTGCAGACTGCCTCGTGGGGTCCCCAAGGCTGCAAAGCTTGACGAAAGCAGACTGTCACGCCTCCCACGGAGCAGCTGGTGGATTTGAACTGATGGCCACTGGGTTAGCAGCAGAGCAATCTGTCAGGGATCCTTTCACCTCTGGAGTGATCCAGAATTGCTAAGGTTGGGTGGAGCAGGTCTGTGGCCAACTATCAGCCAACTGAAGGCAAACCCAGTGTGTCTGGGAGGAAACCCTCAGCAGCACTTGGGGTCCTGGCACCTCCCTGGCTGGGGAGGGTGCAGACCGAGGGCTGGGAACCCAATATTTTGGCTCCAGCTCTGCGTCAAACTGAGTGTAGTCTGTGGGCCAGCCCATGGGTCTGCAATGGTACCTGGAGGGAGGAGCCTCTGCGGGCTTGAGTTATCTGGAGAGACAAGCCAAGGTCAAGTCCCCACAACCTCAGACATTCTGGTCACTCCAGAGGTAAAAAAGGATCACTGATGGAGCCATGGTTTAAATCACTCTGCTGCTAACTCAAAGGTCATCAGTTCAAGCCCACCATCTACTGTGTGGGAAAAGACATGGCAGTCTCTGCTTCTGTGTCTCCTGGGAGCAAAGGGCCTTCAACGGGAGGGAGGTGGCCTGAGAGCCTGGGCTGTCCGTAGGGAGAAGACGGATGTCCTGAGCAGTGAGGATGATGGCCCAGACAGCCCTGTGATCCTCGAGGTCCCCTCCCTGCCCCGCTCCCCTCCAGCCTACACTCCCACCTACAAGAAGTCCCTCCGCCTCTCCTCCGACCAGATTGTAAGTGTGTGAATGTGTGTGTCCTGGGGGTGGCGGCGGTGGGCTGGGACTGAGTCCCTCAGAGTCCATGGAGCTGGTCACCAAAGGCCAAAAGCCAACCCTTGACAGCCTCCCTGATGGCCTCTGCTTAGATACCGCCCAAGGCGAAGGACTCACCCCTACACAAGCCAGCCCATTTCTCTGACACATACTCTGGAAAAGCTTTCTCCCGTATCATCTGGACATTTCTTCCTTCAGCAGGCCAGTTGGCTCAGGTCATCACACTTTAGGAGTCAAAGGCTGATGACAGCCCCTCAGATGGGTCCCCCAATTTTCTCTCACCTCAGTGGCTGGTGGCTCACGGGCAGCGAGGTGCTTGGGGTGTGGCCAGTGTGACAGAGCAGGGTGCCATCTGCCTGGCCCCGTGGGGTCTCACACCCAGCCGAGGGTCCTGAAGCCTGGCCACCTGGTTTTGGCCGAGTGCTACGCCAGCCCTCATCTATGAATGGTGTACAAGGTTTTGTTAGTGGAGGAGCATTTGGTTGGTCTAACACAGTCCCCCCACACACATACAAAGACGTACTCATGAATTCCCACAGACACCCATCTACAAAGTGGGGCTTCTGCCAAGAACAGTGCTCCCCCGTGTGGCTGACATGGGAACCCTGGGCAGGGGGCCAGGACAGCCTGGGTCAGGGAGCTTCACCTTGAAGGAGGCAGAGGCAGGTTAGGCTCCTGGGCCCCAGCACCGCACAGGCCAGTGGTCTCATGCTGCCACCTCATGGCCACCTTCTGCCCCCGCAGCTGTCTGCATAACTGTCTCTAAGTTCAGGAAGTGTCTCTGAGTTGGGAGATGGTGACGAGTGAGAGGACAGAAACCCGCAGCATGGGCTGTTGTAGTTGTTTTGTACCATCAAGCTAAGACTGACCCATAACAACCCTTCAGGGGGTTTTCAGAGGCAGTAAATCACATAGAAGGCTGTTCACCTTTCTCCAGTGAAGCCTCTGGTGAATTCAAACCACATACCTGTGGCTTAGCAGTGCAGTTCCTTTCCACCAAGCCACCAGAACGCACAGCTTGGGCTAGCTTTCAAAATCAACAAAACCCAGAGGGTTGGCCGTGCCTGGCTCCAGGCAGTCACAGTGCCCCCTCTCCCTGGCCCCAGCGCCGGCTGAACCTGCAAGAGGGCGCCAACGACGTGGTGTTCAGCGTGACCACCCAGTACCAGGGCACCTGCCGCTGCAGGGCCACGATCTACCTGTGGAAATGGGACGACAAGGTGGTCATCTCCGACATTGACGGCACCATCACCAAGTGAGGCCCGCTGACCACAAGGAGGGGTCCTGGGGGCCATGTAGATGGGCGTTAAGAGGGCTGCACCTGGAACAGGAGGGCAGGTGCTGCCTCGGAGTAACACGTCCTCTCCGGCTCTAGGTCGGACGCACTGGGCCACATTCTGCCCCAGCTGGGCAAAGACTGGACACACCAGGGCATTACCAGCCTCTACCACAAAATCCACCTGTGAGTGTCCCCAGCAGTGGGAGAAGTGACAGGAAGCGGAGCTGGGAAGGACAGGGCCAGGCCCCTATCCTTGGGGAAGGGTTCTGAGCTATGGTCTCTGAAGGGCCACCCTAGTACCTGGTCTAGAAAGGTGGCTGTGTTGACCAGCAGGCCCACCCGGGGAGAACGCGGGGCAGGTTCCTAGAGAGCCCAGCTGTGCCTACTGGTCCTCAGCTCTGTGAGGGACCCATTTCCTTGGGACTGTGTCTGGGACTCGAGTCTGCTGGCCTTCTTGCTGTGGAAGAAATTCACAGGCTGGCCTGAGCCATCGTAGTCCGCAGGACTCCGTCCATGCTCTTTCCTACAGGGACAGCTGTTAAGGGACCAGTCAGGCCTGGCTTAGCTTGTTCCCCCCAGACTCCTCTCCTGCCAAAGGCCTCTGGGTTTGGAGGCGGCAGCCCCAGGGAGGGGTTCAGCTGACCCAAAGCCAGGAGTGGGGCTGGGGTGGGGGGAAGCTGGGCTGTGAGGAGCGAAGGCTGGTCTCATGGCTCTGTGTCACCGTCTCCTCTAGAAACGGGTACAAGTTCCTGTACTGTTCTGCACGGGCTATCGGCATGGCGGACCTCACCAAGGGGTACCTGCGATGGGTGAGCGAGCGGGGCTGTGGCCTCCCCAAGGGCCCCATCCTGCTGTCTCCCAGCAGCCTCTTCTCCGCTCTCCACAGGTAACCACCCGAACCTAGGACAAACCCACCACCTATGCAGGGAGGGCTGGGCCTTGGTCTCGTGGCCCTGCCTCCTCCTCACTCCTTCCCTGCCTCTGACCCCGTGGCCCAGGGAAGTGATCGAGAAAAAGCCTGAAGTGTTCAAGATCGCCTGCCTGAGTGACATCCAGCAGCTCTTTCTGCCCCACAGACAGCCCTTCTTTGCCGCCTTTGGGAACCGGCCCAACGTGAGCTGCCCCCTCCCTGGCAGCTGAGCTGCTCCCTCTCCACCTCCCGGCAGCCTCTGCTAACCCGGTCCCCTCCTTGTTCCCCCTACAGGATATCTTTGCCTACCAGCAGGTGGGACTCCCAAAATCACACATCTTCACAGTCAACCCTCGCGGGGAGCTCATCCAGGAGCTCATGAAGAACCACAAATCCACGTGAGGCCCCCTGCCCCGACCCTGGGCTCAGGGCTCCCAGATGGGGCAAGCAAGCATCTGCCTGATAGGGCGGAGGCCATGGCCATGGCCTTGGTGGCCGCTGGGTCTCAGCAGCATGTGTTCTGCCTGCAGGTACGAGCGGCTGGGCGAGGTGGTGGAGCTGCTCTTCCCGCCCGTGGCCCGTGGCCCCAGCACAGACCTGGCCCAGCCCGAATACAGCACCTTCTGTTACTGGCGGAAGCCCCTGCCTGCTGTGGACCTGGACGACCTGGCCTGAGCCTGCAGATGAGTGGGTGTCTCAAGGCACAGGCGTGGGATACCATGAGGCAGTGCGCTGAGGGGGAGGTGGCGGCTGTGGTTTGGCTGGCTGACAGAGACCCCCCACTCTCCCAGACCTTATGCTGTGTTCTGTCTCTTGCCTCTGATGGCCAAGCACCAAGGGGTGAGGCATATGCTCCAGCCGTCAGCATGGCCCTGGCCTGTAGCAGCTAAATGCCTGTCACCTGGGCCCTTGTAGAGGTCCCCGTGTCCCCCTGGGCCATGGCTTAGCTACTGACGGGGCAGAGAGAGGAGGGGGCACCATGGATACTCAGCAGTGGGGACGGCACTCGTGTCCCAACCCCGTCTCCTCTTGATGCCAGCCTCCTCCACGAGCCCCAGCTCCTTCCCACTGCCTCCTCCTCGCTGGCATCTCAGCACATGAGGCCCCAATCTTGGGCATGCCGGTGCTCATCCTACCAGCAGCAGGGAAGTGGGGTCTCCCAGAAAGTGTAAGGGATATGGGAATGTGTCCCCACTCAGCTGCCACCCTTGTTACTCCCTGCACTTTTCTCTGAGGGTTCTGCCCTCGGCCTGTGGAGCCGGGTAGTGTTGGCCTGGTGGCCCTCGTCAGGCCTCTGTGATTGGCTCCCTGCTCTTTTCCAAGGAGCTGTGGGACACAGCTTCCCCACCCCCCACCACTGCCGAACACAGTGCTTTTAGAAATGGGCTAGAAACTTTAATCTCAAACCCGCCCGCCCCCAACATTTCCAAAGTGGAGACCACCACTGAGGCAGGGCTGTGGGACCCGCAGAACAGCATACCAGGGCCTGCTGTGGGGGAAACGGAGGCAAAGGAGCCTGAGCGTGAAGTCTCTCTGGACACCTGCATGCAAACTGTCCATGTTTTCACACTTGAACTTCATACCACGGAGTGACCACCCTGGCTGAGCTGGAGCTTCACACAAATGCTGACAGCAAAGCCTGGGACCCCTTCCCTTCGGTTACGGCCTCCCTCCCAGGGTCTGGCCACCGTCAGGTCATGATGGACACAAAGACCTGAGAGGGGCCCTGACCTGATGGAAGAGCTCACTCCAAACAGGAGGGGGGAAACCAACCACATGGGCCCAAAAATACGTCTGGGACAGGAACAGGATCAACTGACGTGGGCCTCCCCAAACTTCACCTGAACGCCATGCTTTCTGCTAAGATTCTACAGCTGCCTCCATCCTCACACCGGGAGCGGACCGAGGGAATAAAGAGCACGAAGGGTCCGCCTGTGTTCTATCTTGTCATCCTTGACGTTGAGCGGGAATGCCCCCCACCCCACCACAGACCTTGCTCAGAACAGCAGCTCTAGACTGCCACGTATGGGAACAGTTCTGGGGGCCTGACCTTCCTGTGCAACCCCAGGCCCCCTCAGCTGAGGAAAGAAGCCAAGGGGAGAAGGGGAGAGTCGGGAGTGTGGGGCTCAGGGAGCCCAAAGTCTCCAGGAGCTGGGAGCAACTGCTCAGGGGTAACACAGCTGTGGGCAGAGCCACTGTCCCAGCACTGACCTGTGGGTCCGCAGTTATGGGGCACAGTATGTCTGCAGAATCACTATCACCAGATGAACTGATGTCTCTCTAGTTCCCTCCTGCCTCCGGGCCCTGAATTCCTGGCTTGGCCGCTATGCCGCATTACCCAGTTAGTACAGCACCGTGCATGTGGACTGTGGTGGCTGGGACAGTCCCAGTGGGTGCTGGACCAGGCTCACTTCTATGGCCTCTTAAGTGGCAGTCACCCTGGAGAGAAGTCTGGGAGGTGCTGCTGTGTGAGGCATGCTCTGGGGTGCGTTCTCGGCGCTGGGGAGCTTATTGAGGTGGGTCTCATCCACCCACCTAGTTGGCTCGCCCTTGCCTCGCCCTCTCGGCCAGCTGGGCCTGGCAGTCCAACAGGTCGCTCTGGAGGCGGGCGATGTCCTGTGTGTGCTGGGCCAGCGTACGGTTCAGCTGGTCCACATGGCCCCACAGGCCTTCCCTGGGCTTCAGCGGCTCAGTGGACGAGTTGTCCAGACTCGCGGCCAGCAGGCCCAGTCCCCCGCAAGCACCCTCCACCTGGGCCACCCTCTGGTCGAAGTGGTCCACTGCATACTGGAGTTCCTGGGCTGTGTCCTGGCAGCGGCTGAGCCCGCTGGCCACAGTGGCCACACCAGCCTTGAGTCGCTCCAGCTCTCCCTGCAGGCTCAGGACCTGCCTGTGGCCAGCCCGAAGCCGCGAGCCCTGGCTGCTGACCTGCTCCTGGATGGCGTGGACCTCGGCCTCCACCCTGCGCTCTCGCTCGTCCAGGGACATGTTGGCAGCCGAGAAGGCGTCGGAGTACTGGCTGATGGAGTCACTGAGGCCCGTGAGCGACTTGCTCACTGAGTTCAGGTTCACCTTGAGCAGGGTGATCTCGCCTTGGATCGAGCTGCCTGAGGCTTCGGCCAGCTGCCCCTGGACCTCAGCCACGGTGCCATTGAGCTCCCGGAGCAGGGCCGCGTGGCTGGCCACCTGGCGCAGGAGGGCCTCGCTGCGGCTCTGCCAGGCCTTCACCTCCGTCACGAGGCTGTCCAGGATGGCTGAGCTGGAGCTGGGGGCGCATGAGGTCTCCAGCGAAACCAGCCGCTGTTCCAGCACGGCCAGTTCCGTCTGCACGAGAGGCTGCGTGGACCTGCCCGGCAGGGCACTGTCCTGGCTCAGCTCCCCGGCCAGTGTCACCAGCCGCTCCTCCAGGCTCTGCACTCGCTCTTCCAACAGGGCCCCAAAGCCTCCCACACCCCATCCTCCCTCCTCTGCCCCCAGACAGCAGCCCCGTGCCCCACTCTCTGTCCCATTGAGAGTGTCCAGGCCCTCGAGCATGGCAGCAGAGAGCCGCGTGAGCTCACCCCCAGAGGGGGCTTTGGGACTCCTTTGGCCCTCAGTGACCATGTGTAGGTTTCGCTCCAGGCTGTCCACTCGGGCACTGATAAGGGCCAGCTGGCCACAGCAGCTGCCCCCGCCAGCCACACTGAGGCCCTGAAGGCGGGTGCCCAGTTGAGAGAGTTCCCGGCGCAGCGCCAGCTCCCGGCCATCCAGGCTCTGGTGCAGCCTCCGGCTAGCTGCCTGGCCCTCCTCACACTGCTGCCTCACCTCCTGCACCCGCATGTCACACTCGCTCTGGACCCCTTGCAGCTTCTGCTCAAAGCCGTCCAGCAGGCCGCCCCAGAGCCGGTGCAGCCGGCGGTCCACGTACTCCTCCAGCAGGGCCAGCGAGGTGAGCGGGGACGGCGGGGCCTCCCGCAGGCGCTGCAGGTGAGCCTCGTGGCCCAGGGCCAGCCCGTGAACCTCGTCCAGCAGCTGCATCTTGGTCCGCAGCATGTTGCTCACCTCTGTCACCTTGCTCAGGACCTCGTCCAGGGGAGGGGTGAGCGGTCCTCTGGTTCTGTCTCCCGGGCCCACAAACCCCTCAGGGATGACCCCAAAGCCCACAGGGGAGGCAGGAGCCCTGGGGCCACCTGTCATCCTGTTGACGTTCTCGCTGGCCACTAGGCCACTGAGGGGACCATATGCTTGTGTCAGATGCTTGACATCACTTTCAAGGCGTTCCAGCCGCTCGCCAAACAGCCCCAGCCCTTTCCTTCCTGTGACAAAGGAGAGAACCCAGGGCGTCTCCACGCTTGTCACTCAGCAGCCCACCTCTACCTTGGGAGGGGTTCTGGGGTTCAACTTCAGGCCTGCCGATGGATGCATCTCCTCCCTAGAGCCCAGCCAGTCCCCATGCACCCCACCACCACTGAGGAGAAACATCAGCTTGGTACACTCACCGTGGGAGCTGGGGGTCACTCTGCTGTAAGGAGGGGGCCTGGGGCCCACGCTGAGCTGCCCCGAGGGTATCTGGGGCTCAGGCTCTGGCTGGGCTGGGGTGGCTCCGTGGTCTGTGAGGTGCTCAGGGCAGGCTTCTCCTGTGATGCCAGGGCAGCAACGCCAGGCGAGGTCTGTCACTGTCTTGTAGCCAACCTTGTATTTGGGTCTGAGCACCGTGCGGTACCTGAGTCCGGAGGGGAAGTGAGAAGAGGGCAGGGGCTGGGTGGAGGCAGCCTAGCTTGACCCCAGTCTCAGTCCTGCCTGGCCTTGTGACCTAAGGGCCCTGTGAGTGGCCTGAGGGGTCTTCCCTCCACCTAGATGACCTGGACCTCATTGGTCAGTCTTCAGGGCCGCTCAAATCTGCTTCCAAGGACGTTTTTAAAGTGCTAAAAAGCAAAGGCATCTCTTTAAAGACTAAAGTGTCCCTATTTCGAGCCACAGTACTTTCAGTGGTTTCATATGCATGTGAAAGTTGGACAATGAATTAGAAGAACTGATGCCTTTGAATTGTGGGGCTGGTAAGAATACTGACTATACCATGGAATGTCAAAGGGACAAATTTCCCTTAGAAGAAGCAAAGCCTGATAAGGATGGGTTCATCTCACATACTTAGGTGTCTTACCAGGAAGGGTCAGTCTCTGGAAAAGGCTATCATACTTGGAAAAGTAGTCACAGGTCAAAGTCATTGCCATGAAGTCGGAACTGACTCATAGCTGACCCTCCAGCAGTAAGCAACAAATTACACAGGAGAGGACTCATCATCTTTCCTCCAAAGAGCTGCTAGAGGATCTGAACCACCAAATGGGCGTCAGCACAACCCTCTACAGACGAAGAGTTCCCTGGAAAGTAGAGGGTCAGGGAAAGAGAGCAAGCCCCTCAAGGAGCTGGAACGACACAGTGACTGGAATGGTCGGCTTAAGCAAAGCAGAGATTGTGAAGCCAGCTCAGGACTGGGTGGGTTTCCTTCTGTTGTACACAGTGTTATAAGTTGGGGTTGTCTCCATCAACAACAAGACCCCTGTATGAGTTCTAAATCTTTCTCCACCTCCATGCTGCCCCCAAGCTCTTTCCTTTTTCTATGCTTATGGTGAAGAGGTTCCTAGCATCCAGAGATTTGATGTGGAAAGCTGTTGGTAGAAACCCCACCCACCCCATTCCATGTGCTGAGGGCAGGAAGGTTGGCAAGGCTTTTGCTCCAGTACTCCAAAGACCATGTGCCTCTTGCCACCAGGAATTCCACTCTGGTTTCTGTAGTTCTTGGAGAATCCTGGCAAAGCTCCACCCCTCCCTGAAGAGGGAGTTTCATCTTGGAGCTGGGAAGGGGACCCCTCTCACTCCAGGAAACCACTCTTGGCTCCTATCATCTCCAACTAAGTTCTGCATGAGCTCAGCTCAAATGATGCTAAGCATGGAGGAGAAGGTAGTCCGCAGAGCACAGGCCAGGCACAGCCACAGGGCCTCCTCACCTGTGGAGCCGGGCACCACTCGCCCACTGATGCTCTGCAGCAAATGGGTCTGTTTTCAGGCATGCATTTGAACCTCTCCAGGCAGAGCATTGCAGGGACCTGTGTATCGCATACCTCAGCCTCCGCACTCCTCCCACACGGCCTCACCTGTCTGGCCTGAGTCCCCCACACCCTGGTACCCACACTCTTCCCCGGAGCCAGGGTGGCCCTTCCTGGGCTTCCCAGGATCACTTTGGCACTGGCCACTGCTAGTGCGACCCCCATGGAGTTCTGGAGGGCTAGTGAAGAAGGAGTTGGTGTGCTGCTAATCCAAAGGCAGGTGCTTTGAATCTACGAATTGATCAACAGCTCTGAGGGAGAAAGATGGACAATCTCCTGCTGTGCAATTAACAGCCTTTGAAAACCCCCTAGAGGGTCAGCTACAAGTCTGTTTGCACTCAAAGATAGGAAGAGAGAGAGATAGAGTCTGTGAGTGCCGCCCTCCACTCTGTCACTTCCTCTTTACCTGGTAGTTCTTCCCTTGAAACCTTTCTGGCTTTTGGACACCTAATCCTGTCTTCCTGCTGCAGTTTGTTCAAAATTTTGGGGTCCTCTATGGCTCCCTCCCTGCAACCCCCTGATCTGCTCTGATCTGTGTTGTGGCCAATGAGATCTTTGGGGTCTCAGGGATTCCAGCCCTCTGCGGAGTCGCAGCTCCTCTCAGCTGATGCAGGACGGGGGGCCTTAAGTCAGGGGATCCCACCAGGCGGGAAGGGTGTACTCACGTGACTGCCGTAGGGCACTTGGGGCCCCACCCACACTGCCGGTACTCAGCCTTGACATAGCTCTCTGCTCCAGCCTGTAGGACGCAGGTCACGTTCCTGTGCACCACGTAGGCACAGAGGGCCCTGCAGGGGACAATGGCTCCCTTGCACTATCTGCTGGAGCCGGGCCACTGAGATTCCTACCCTCTCCCCACCCTGACCCGTTGGCTCAGCAAGTGACAGACCCCATCTGTCTGTCCTTCCATGCTTCCAGGACACAGAGCCTGGGGTACAGAATCTTCTGGCCTGGTCCCAGACTCCAGGATGGGTTGGTCACTGGGCTCCACAATATACCGAGCGAGGAGCCTGGTGAGGCTGCCACTGCTGTGTTCTGAGGTCCACCCTGGTTTCCCCCTCCAGAGCCTCCCCACAGCTCCACCCTCCTGCAGCCCCTTCACTGGTTGCAGACTCTAACCTGGCATTCCCCACGGTCAGCTCAGTGCCTCTGAGAGCACGTTTCCTATTCCTGCTCCTCCTCGAACTGCCTCCTGGGAACACACATCCCACCTGGTAGCCTTCCAGCCCATCTAGGCTCCAGTTCTCTCACGCAAACCAGACCTGCCCTTAATGTGCCCAGGTCCACTTGGCGTCAGCCCTCGGCTGGGCACTCTTCTCCTATAGCACCCCTCAAATGCAACGAGGTACCTGCCCTCAAGCTACCTGCCTCGGGCCAGTTCACAAGCGTCTGACTTATTAAAAACCTTCCCAAGGAGGTTCTGCTTGGAGCCTCAAGACAGGTTCTGCACCCAAGAGTCTCCATCAGCTCCGCCGGCCAAGCCACGACGCGATACCAAGGGTTTGCTGGGACCCACCGCCCTGTGCGCGCAGGGCTCCAACTCCTACCTGGCGGGGCAGGAGAGAGTTGGAAGGCCCGGGCCAGGGAGCCCCCAGCGCTCCGCGCGCGGACCTCCCTTCCTCCTCTCCCTCCACCTGGTCGGCTGAACCCGGGTTTTGCACACAGCGCAGCTGGAAAATGTTACTTCGCTGGAAAGGTTTCCGCGGGCACTGCCAGGATCCCGGCCGCCGCGCCAGGCCCCCTCAGCTGGTTTTCCGTCGCCAGCCCCGCAGCCTCTCGGCGCGTGGGGCTTCCACGTGGGCACGAGGTCGCCCCAGTGCCGCCCCCCCCAGAGCGCTGCCCCGTCGCTTCTGCCTCCGCGCGGGGTGCGGGCAGGTGAGAGCCCCGCGCGCCCCCCCCCCCGGATCCCCGCCCCACGCGGCCCGCGCGCTTACTTGTGCGGCCCCGGGCGCAGCCTCGGGCGCCACCCCGCTGTGTAGAGGTTGTAGTTGGAGGCCCCCGGCGCCGCGGGCCGCGCCAGCAGCGAGGTGCCCCTGGCCAGCGCGCCTGAGAACAGAGCCGCGACGGCGCACAGCCAGACGGGCAGGCGGCGGGGACCCATCGCGGCCCCGGCCCTC